CCGGCACTCTGGGAGGCCAAGCTAGGAGGATTGCTTGAGGCCAGGAGTTTAAGACCAGTCTTGGCAACATAGTGATACTCTGTCTCTACAAATAAACAAAAATAAACAAAACACAAATAAACAAAAAAACAAAACTGGCCCGGTGCGGTGGCTCATGCCTATAACTGCAGCACTTTGGGAGGCCAAGGCAGCAGGATCATGAGTTCAGGAGTTCGAGATCAGTCTGGACAACATAGTGAAACTCCATCTGTACTAAAAATACAAAAATTAGCTGAGCGTGGTTACTTGCACCTGTAGTTCCAGCTACTCTGGGGGTGGGGGTGAGGCAGAAGAATCACTTGAACCTGGCAGGCAAAGGTTGCAGTGAGCTGAGATTGCGCCACTGCACTCCAGCCTGGGTGAGAGAGCGAGACTCTGTCTCAAAAGAACAAACAACTGTGTGTATATAATTGTTAAAGCAGTTCATTTTTCCTGTAAATTCTGAAACATACAGGAAGAAGTCATTTATGAAATGAAGAAAAAGGGAAAATAACAAACAGAAAAAAAAAAGAAAAAGTCATTTATAAACCCAATATTCAGAGATAACTAGGGTTTAACATTTTCATGTATTCCTTTAGACTATTTTCTATGCTTTCATTTTTATTAGGAAACTATTCTTCCCCCACCCCTTTATTGACTAATCTATGTTTGAGTCCCTGGCAGTTTATAAAATAAAACTAGTTTTTATATTCATTAATATTTGAAAGATTTTGAGTTTTACTACTAAAAGAATGTTTCTTAATCTCAATGCAACTATGAAAGCAATAATGCCTTCTTTGAACATAGCTGCATTTCTCTTTTTATAAACTATGTACTTGCTACCTAACTCTAGTATTGGACTGTCACTGCAAAGAAGCAGTTTATTGACTGTAGCACATTAGAATTAAATGGATTCACTGGAAGTGAACCAAGTATTATGAATCCCTTACTTGGCAACCTACTCCATACTGGAAGTAAAAAGTTTTCAGGTAAATATGCATATGATGCATATCCCGTAACAATAGGGTTGCCAAGAGGCATTTCAAAATAATAGTTCCCATTTTCACTGGTGAAATAAAACAGTTTAAGAAAGATGAGGTTGTATTTTGCTAGAATAAAATTTTGCCAACAGATTTTCTTTTAGGAATACTCTATTGTGAGGCTGGCACCTCTGATGAATTCAGCCTCTCACCTGCTGTCAGGGACCTCTTAAAGATCTGTCTCAGTTCCCATAGCAGGGACTGTAGTTTGGAAGCAATTCTGGACATATGTGCTTAACAACATGCTCTTCAATTGCCACATACTCAAAGAAGATTTCAATCTGATTCAAACAGAAGCCAAACTTGAAAGTAACCTACTGACAAAGATAACCAATGAAGACAGTGCTCATTCTAAATCTGTATGGAAACATATAATGTCTCTCTAGCCTTTCTCTGACATGACATCACTCCACTTAAGTCAGGATCCAAAATGGAAATACTATTCTAGTCCTACCAAGACAATCTAAAATTGAAATGTGAAAATATATAGTAAAATCATTTAAGTTGCTTATTTTTTCACTTTTTGTTATTTATAGCCAAGAAAATTAATTTGTTAAAAATAACACCTTCAGAATGAATCACTCTTATTACATATTGAAAATAAGAACTGATTGCTATGGAAAAGGCAAACAAGAGCTTCTGGAAATATAAATATGATTGTGGAAGCTAAAACTTTAATTAATAGATAACTGATATAAGAATAGTAAAAACTAAATGAATCATTTGAAGGTAAAGCTGGGTAAATCTTGAAAAATGTAGTAGGGGAGCCCAGGTATGCTGGCTCATGCCTGTAATCCCAGTACTTTGGGAGGCTGGGTTGGGTGGATCACTTGAGATCAGGAGTTTAAGACCAGCCCAGCCAACATGGTGAAACCCCATCTCTACTAAAAATACAAATTACCTGAGAGGCTGAGGCATGAGACTCACTTGAACCTGGGAGGCGGGGGTTGCAGTGAGCTGAGATCCTGCCACTGCACTCCAGCCTGGGCAACAGAGCAAGACAATGTCTCAAAAAAAAAAAAAAGGAAAGAAAAGGAAAACATAGAGGGGGGGAAAAGTGGAAAACACACCAAAAAAATTGATTCCTAGGATGTCAGGTGGTATAATATTTGTCTAGTGGGAATTTCAGAAGGAGGAATTGAAAGTTTAAGAAAGAATTAAAAAAATAATACCAGGCCAGGCATGATGGCTCATGCCTGTAATTTTAGCACTTTGAGAAGGTGAGGTAAGGGGACTGCTTGAATTCAGAAGTTTGAGACCAGCCTGGGAAATACAGCAAGACGCTTGTCTTTACAAAAACTAAAAAAAGCCAGGCACAGTGGTATGCATATGAAGTCTCAGCTACTCAGGAGGCTAAAGGAGGAGAATAGCTTAAGCCAAGGAGTTCAAGGCTGCAGTAATCCATGATCACACCACTATACTCCAGCCAGAGCAATAGGGCGAGACCCTGTCTCAAAAAAAGAAAAGAGAGAGAGAGAGAGAAAAAAGAAAATTCCTCTGAATTTTCAAACTGAAAACCTATCCAGTGCCAAGCCAAAATGTGTGAAAAGATCCATGCCTACATACATCAAGGTGAAATTTCACAGTTCTAATGATAAAGTCTTAAAAGCTTATAGAGAAAAGAAATTAAGAGGACAAAACAAAGATACAACAAAAAATGCAATGGAATGATTCAGGATGGCACTGAAATTCTCAATAGACTGGAGACTAGAGCCTAGAGCACATGGAGATTGCAGGCTAGAGAATGATGGAGTAGTAGTTTCAAAGTTGTGAGCAAAACAATTTTGATACTGAAACTATTATCCAGCCAAATTATTACTTGAGTGTGAGCAAAAGATAAAAACAGTTTTAAACATGCAAGGATTCATAATGTTTACCACCACACACATACTAATACATATTACTTAAGTTTTAAGGAGGAACTTCATCAAAGAAAGCATCATTTAAAGAAAGAGAATGACATGAGATTTTTAATGCTGCTTCTGAGTAGAACCTAAAAACAAGAAAAAGAAAGATGACAGGAAATCAAAAAGAAATCATCTGGTGATGACTTTTTCTTTTTTGAGAGAGTCTCCTCCTGTCGCCAGGCACCAGGCTGGAGTGCAGTGGGACGATCTCGGCTCACTGCAACCTCTGCCTCCCGGGTTCAAGCAATTCTCCTGCTTCTGACTCCCGAGTAGCTGGGACTATAGGTGCACGCCACCATGACCAACTAATTTTTGTATTTTTTTAGTAGAGACGAGGTTTCACCATGTTGGCCAGGATGGTCTCAATCTCTTGACCTTGTGATCCACCAGCCTCGGCCTCCCAAAGTGCTGGAATTACAGGTGTGAGCCACCGCGCCCAGCCAATTTTTTTTTTTTTAAGACATAATCTCACTCTTGCCCAGGCTGGAGTGCAGTGGTGCAATCTCGGCTCACTGCAACCTCCACATTCGGGTTCAAACGATTCTCCTGCCTCAGTCTCCTGAGTAGCTGGGATTACAGGTGCCTACCACCATGCCTTGCTAATTTTTATATTTTTAGTAGAGACAAGGTTTCATCATGTTGGTAAGGCTAGTCTTGATCTCCTGACCTTGTGATCTGCCCACTTCAGCCTCCCAAAGTGTTGGGATTACAGTCGTGAGCCAATGCGCCTGGCCTTTTTTTTTTTTTTTTTTTTTTTTTTTTTTTTAGATGAGGTCTCGTTCTGCCACCCAGGCTGGAGTGCAGTGGGGTGATCTCAGCTCACTGCAACCTCCACCTTCTGGATTCAAGCAATTCTGCCTCGGCCTCCTGAGCAGTTGGGACTTGATTATATTTTTTTAAAGAGACAGGATCTTGCTCAGGCTGGAGGGAAGTGGTGTGATCATAGCTAACTCAGCCTCAAATTCCTGGGCTCAAGTGATGGATGATAACTTGAAACATTCTACCCAAAGCAGCAGGGGAGATTGTAGTAACTAATGTAGAATTTTTATTCCTTATAAATCCAAGCACAATACTTTGTTGTGCAGTGAATGCTTTTATAATCATAATTCTACAAATTTCTGGTTATTTTATTTAAATATTAGATGAATTTACAGACAAAGCATATATCATTTAATAATAGAATATTACAAACTGGGAGACAATAAATGAGAGATAACTTAAGAATAGAGTATTTGAAGTTATAATGATAATCTTTGGAAGAGAAAAAAAGATTACTAAAAGGAGTTACTTACAGAGAGCAATAGTAGAAAGAGGTAGTTTTTTCCCTTTTAATACAATAATTATGATATATCATCCAATAGGATGATTATATTATCAATGGAATACTGACCAAATGGAGAGAAACACAAACATCTAGAGGTACTGACATTAAAAAAAGTCTTTAAGAAATAAACTTCAGAAATGATAGTGGATAATTAGATGATCCTATTTATGTTAAAAAATTATATGAGTGCATATATGTGAATTTGTAAGATGTTTTCAGTGATGTAACAGCAACTTATTCAAATGGCAGGGGCCTCTGAAGATATTTCATTGTTGTGAATTATATTTTTAATAAGCAGAATTCATAGGCTGCACCTTGGTTTTCTTCAGGTCTAGCCTAAATTTTCATTAGCCACTGATTATGTATGTCTGTGCTACTTAACATTTTTGGTATTATTATCAAGAGAATAAGAAGAAATTTCAATAATGACTAAAATCAATATGTTAATTAATCCAGCTGTTACTTAATCTGGTAAACTTAAGAAACAGTAGTTATTCTCTCTAAATAGTATTTTATGCTTGGAGAAAAACAAAACGGAACAAAAAACTGTGACTTTTTTCATTTTGAAAGTGTATAGCATCATAAAAATCAAGTTGGATTTCTGGCATTAGGCAACTCCAAAAACAATTAACATTATCTATTTTTGCCTCAAACAACATTAAAATATATTCAGTCATAAGTCTTCTCTTTAATAATTTAGTTTTTTCTTACCAGGCTATTTTCTTTCCAGGCTTCTGGGAACTTGGGTCTCTGTTTTTCTCTAGACACAAGAACCTGCATATCCTCGAAAGTGGGATGGTTTCCAACCTCTGTCTGAAAAGCCATCTGGTACTCTGGTACAGATTCCCCTGTGTATTTGTAGAAAAGAATGACAGAATAAAATTTCCAGTTACCATAAATGATAGAATAACAGGGGTATTTCTGATACTAAGTAAGCAAAAAAACTGTGTCACAATCTTTTTAGTTTTTTAGCCCCTTCAGGTAAATTTGGAAATCCTAAAGAGACCTTGTTGTAGGTTTAATAATTCTTTTTGTTGTTGTTGTTGAGATGGAGTTTCCCTCTTGTTATCCAGGCTGAAGTGCAATGGCGCAATCTCGGCTCACCGCAACCTCTGCCTCCTGGGTTCAGGCAATTCTCCCGCCTCAGCCTCCTGAGTAGCTGGGATTACAGGCACGTGCCACCATGCCCAGCTAATTTTTTTGTATTTTTAGTAGAGACGGGGTTTCACCATGTTGACCAGGATGGTCTCGATCTCTTGATCTGGTGATCCACCCTCCTCGGCCTCCCAAAGTGCTGGGATTACAGGCGTGAGCCACCATGCAGTTTCACTCTTGTCTCCGAGACTGGAGCGCAGTGGCTGGATCTCGGCTCACCACAACCTCCGATTCCCAGGTTCAAGCGATTCTCCTGCCTCAGCCTCCAGAATAGCTGGGATTACAGGCATGTGCCACCATGCTCAGCTAATTTTTTTTATTTTTTTCTTAGTCGAGATGGGTTCCTCCATGTTGGTCAGGTTGATCTCCAGCTCCCAACCTCAGGTGATCTGCCTGCCTCACCTCCCAAAGTGCTGGGATTGATTACAGGCATGAGCCACTGAGCCCAGCCAATTTTTTTTTTTTTTTTCAAAGACAGAGTCTCACTCTGTTGCCCAAGCTGGAGAGCAGTAGCACAATCTTGGCTCACTGCAACTTCCACCTCCTGGGTTCAAGTGATTCTCCTGCCTCAACCTACCGAGCAGCTGGGATTACAAATGCACACCACCACACTGGCTAATTTTTGTATTTTGGTAGAGATGGGGTTTCACCATGTTGGCCAGGGTGGTCTCGAACTGACCTCAGGTGATCCACCAGCCTTGGCTTCCCAAAGTGCTGGGATTATAGGTGTGAGCCACCATGCCCAGCCCAATGCATTATTAATAAATGCTTTGCTTAGAATAGTCTCAAATATTTGTTGATAAATCAAATGGTAGTTTCAATGATGGATAGGTATTTTTAAATGGTTTCTGATATTACTAAATTCAGGGGACAAAGACTATTACGTTTATAAGGCATACATAATACTTGAAAATAGGCCTCAACACTGATCCCCCCATAGAGGGTAGTGAAGATGAGAAAAAAGTCCAGGACCTAGTACAACAAATATGTCTATAGAACCAAATATAAATGGGTGGGTTGAATACGTCATTGGCTCTATCATAGTGCCAGACAGTATCAAATGTCACAAAAATATTTATAATAATGGTCATTTCAAAGAAAAAAGTCAATATACTTTAAACAATTTTTTTTTAAAGAGGCTGGGTGTGGTGGCTCACGCCTGTAATCCCAGCACTTTGGGAGGCCGAGGCAGGTAGATCACAAGGTTAGGAGTTGGAAACCAGCCTGACCAACAGGGTGAAACCCTATCTCTACTAAAAATACAAAAATTAGCTGGGTGTGGTGGCGAATGCCTGTAATCCCAGCTACTCAGGAGGCTGAGGCAGGAGAACTGCTTGAACCCGGGAGGTGGAGGTTGCAGTGAGCTGAAATCGTGCTACTGCACTCTAGCCTAGGCAACAGAGCAAGACTTCATCCAAAAAAAAGGAAGGAAAGAAAGAAGGAAGGAAGGGAGGTAGGCAGGCAGGCTGGCAGGCAGGCAGGAAGGCAGGAAGGCAGGAAGGCAGGAAGGAAACAGGGTCTTTACTTTGTAACCCAGGATGGAGTACAGTGGCATGATCATAGTTCAATGTAACTTGAACTCCTGCGATCAAGTAGCCCCCCTAGTACCTAGGACTACAGGAGTGTGCGACCACGCCCAGCTAATTTAAAAAAAATATTTTTGTAGTGATATAAGGTCTTGCCATGTGGTCCAGGCTGGTCTCATACTTCTGCCTGCTGGTGGTGTGAGCCACTATGCCCAGCCCTAAAAATTCCTTTTAACTAACAGGTACTTTAGGATCATGGACTTAAATATTATTAACTATTTGTTCACTGTTTAATAACCCTATTCATTGCAAATAAGCACAATCAACTGTAATGTCAGGCTTTCGATTTTTACAAAATATGATAATAAAATGAAGTTTATGTATATAACATATTGAATCACATAGAAAACCTCTGGAACCAACAATGTGAAAACCCATGGTCTAGTAGAAATCATGGCAAAGAACACAGAACAAGAAACTCTTCCTGTCTCTTTACCCCTCCTCCCACCCTATTAAAATGACAGGATAAATTACAAGGAAGAACACCAACAGAGGAGAATAAGGCATTTAGGTTCTAATCTTGGCTTCATCTCGACCTCAGAAAAGTCATTTTACAATTCGTGTTTTACACTTCCTGTAGGCAAAATGGCAGTCTGCCACCTTCCTTATATCATTCACATGGAGATAATACAAAGTTCTAATGACCCAGATGGAAATCGCATTATAAATAAGTTTATATTTCATTTAAGTTTCTATTTGAATACTCAAAACAAATCATAAATACTTGCCCTCCACCAATATTAAAAAAAGATTTACAAAGATTAATTCTATTATCTACATTGCATTGCCCAAGTTTATTGTAATATACTGCCTTATGTATAAATACAAGTGATTTTCACATACTGTAAACATTTAAGCAAATACTTAGTGTTGATCAATAACATCAACATTGAACTTGAGAGATAAAGGATTTAATAATGCCAGTTAGTATATCACTTTCTTCCTTGAAACCCCATATGATAAAACCTTATCCTATACCATCTGTGAGCTGTAAGATATTTATTAATATATCTGAACTGTCTCTGAGACACACACACAACACATACACATACCTTCCAAGTGTTATTTACTGTTTTTTCAAATGCTGGTTTAGTAGAATAACTAAAAATTTACTACTCTTTTAAAAAATTAGACCCAAAGTATAATTTTAAAACTTGCTACAGCAAATTGAAGTACAATCTTTTATGAATGCAATGGTTTAGAATTACCAAATAAATTTCCACTAAATCTTCACAGTTGAAAATCTAATTGTTCAACTGAAACTTGTTTACCACTAACTTAGTTTTAGGTATTGGAGACACAAAGGTGAATGTTAATGACAAACATCTTTATCATGGAAGATATTAACCTTATTGGATTTCCTTAAAACCTTACTGAATTTCCTTCTATCACTGGATTGCTCAAGGGAAATTTTATAATCTCACTTTCTTCAGAATTGCCCAAAATATCTTTTTTTTTGAGACGGAGTTTCGCTCTTGTTACCCAGGCTGGAGTGCAATGGCGCGATCTCGGCTCACCGCAACCTCCGCCTCCTGGATTCAGGCAATTCTCCTGCCTCAGCCTCCTGAGTAGCTGGGATTACAGGCACGCGCCACTATGCCCAGCTAATTTTTTGTATTTTTAGTAGAGACGGGGTTTCACCATGTTGACCAGGATGGTTTCGATCTCTTGACTTCGTGATCCACCCGCCTCGGCCTCCCAAAGTGCTGGGATTACAGGTGTGAGCCACTGTGCCTGCCTGAAAATACACTTCTAAATAATAACTGATGCACCTGTTAATCTAAATAATCACTGATTTATTTCATTATATTTTTGAATTACAAACTAATGTTTGGCCTGGTGTAGTGGCTCACTCCTGTAATCTCAGCACTTTTGGAAGCTGAAGTGGACGGATCACTTGAGCCCAGGAGTTTGAGACCAACCTAAGCAACATGGTGAAATCTTGTCTCTACAAAAAATACAAAAATTAACCAGGCTTGGTGGCACATGCCTGTAGTCCCAGCTAATTGGGAGGCTGGGGAAGGAGTATCACTTAAGCTTGGGGAGGTCAAGGCTGCAGTGAGCTGTGATCAGACCACTACACTCCAGCCTAGGTGACAGAGTGAGACTCTGTCTCTTAAAAAAAAAAAAAAAGTGCATATATATATAATACACACACACACACACACAGTTATATGTATCTGTATATGTATTTAATTTAAAAACATTAATAATGGAGTTGAATTGTTTTGCTTTAAAGACATTAAGCATTAAACATTACTTTATAGTACTATTAATCTTTTTAAATAGCTTCATTTCATAAACTTGTCCAATGCTGGTTCCTTTTTCTATGCTTTTAGTGGTGTTATTAATAAAAGACAGAGGCCACAAAGATCAAATCATCTGTACAGCCTCTAGAAGAATGCAACAGCAGATTTAAAGTTTTTAGATGATAATATAATAATACAATCCCTAAGAAGGGCAGAAAAACTATGAATTCATTTGGCTATTTCAAGTAAGCCTCAAACAAACATTCAATTAAATGGGTATCTGGGTATTCTTTTTTTTTTTTTTTTTTTTTTTCGAGACAGAGTCTTGCTCTGTTGCCCAGGCTGGAGTACAGTGGGGCAATGTTGGCTCACTGCAACCTCTGCCTCCTGGGTTCAAGTGATTCTTTTGCCTCAGCCTCCCGAGTATCTGGGACCACCACACCCAGCTAATTTTTGTATTATTAGTAGAGACAGGGTTTCACCATATTGGCCAGGTTGGTCTCAAACTCCTGACTTCATCATCTGCCTGCCATGGCCTTCCAAAGTATGGAAATTACAGGCATGAGCCACCACCTCGCCCAGCGTTTTTTTTTTTTTCTGAGACAGTTTCACTCTTGTTGCCCAGGCTGGAGTACAATGGCACCATCTTGGCTCACTGCAACCTCCACCTTCTGGGTTCCAGTGTTTCTCCTGTCTCAGTCTCCCAAATAGCTGGGATTACAGATGCATGCCACCAAGCCTGGCTAAGTTTTTTTTATCTTTTGTAAAGACAGGGCTTCATCATATTGATCAGGCTGGTCTCAAACTCCTGAACTCTGGTGATTCACCAGCCTCAGCCTCCCAAAGTGCTGGAATTAC